ACCTTGAGCTAAACGCCGCTTACTCCGCGGAGCTCGAATATCGAATATCCAACTTGAAACTAACTTCACTGCGGTCAGTTAGCTTCCTTTATTCATAATCTGCTAACTAAAACTATCACTAAAGTTAAGCTGCTATACATGCAAAAAATATAAAATAAAAAAAGTGGAAGTAAAAAAAAAAACAAGTAAAACTAAGTTGCTAGTGAAGTTAATGTTTAGCTGAAGCTAACACTTTTCAAAATTAGTGGAAAAGCTAATCGGCTAAACAAAGGGTTACTTCCACTATTAGCTGATTAGTGAAACCATGCCCACCACTGCTATAGCTGATGCGTAAAATCAAGCRTCTTGTGCATAACTGTTTCTGGTTTTATTGTTGATATTTTACGTTATGATAGCAAAATGTCCTYAATATGCCATGTCTGAATTATTGCAAAGCACGGCTGAAAGCTAGGTCTTTATGAACGCTGTTTAGACTAAATGAATTTAAAAGAGTCGAAAGTTGTCATGATGAACCGCTTAACTCCCATAAACAAGTAAAGGCTAATCATTGGGTAAAAAAAAAAAAGAATATTAAAAATAAACTAAAACCATGGCAGCAATGAAATGAGTCGGCACATTGAGCCGACTCGGTTGCAACATCATCTGAATTAATACAAAATATATTTTAAACAGTTGGATTTCTTTAAATCTTTTCTTTTTTATATTATTTTGCTAGGGCAGAGCAGTTACAYTGAAACACAAAAGTTAAATAAAACTAGAAAAGTGACAAATTTATATATTTTTGCTCAGGCTGATAGATTTTCTTGTTGTTTGTAATTACTTTTGCAGTTTTTTTTGCAGTACTACGTCAGCTTTTCTATTTTTAAAACTTCTTTTCCAGGTGTTTCTTTGATATTATCATTTTTTTTTTTTTTTTTTACCAGACAGATGTTTTAGGCCAAAGAGTGAAGTTTGTGGAGGTGAAGCATCTTTCTGTGGAGGTGCTGTGTTCACAGAGGACGAGAAAGTGGACAACAGCGCCCTCGTGTGTCTGAAAACTGAAACAACAAATGAAAGCTCAGACCTGAACCAACCGGAGAGTCTTCTCTGTGTAAGTGCCTGGTTTACCTTTTTAGGACCTTTTATCATGACTGACTTTGTAGTCCTCATGGAGACCAGAATCTGGTCCTGATGTGGWGGAACATCATTTTTGGGTTATGAGTTTAGGTTAAAGGTCAGGATGAATCAGAGATGTTAAAAATCTCAATCCATCAATCAGAGCCTTTTTGTTCTTCAGAACCAAATCAATACATGAAACCCAAAAGATCAAAGGTCACAATTTCCAACCTTTGTTTGTTAAATATTTCTGAGTCAAACACTGAAATCCTCTCAGATGATTAAAGAGCTGAAGCTGAGTTTTCGTCACACGAGGTGTGCTTGATTTTCAGGAGGAAGTCATTAAGCGGGTCTCGAGCTGAGCCCGAAGTCCTCTGATGTCTGAAGGCTTCCCAGAACCACAACCCTGCGTTAATCACCGGACACTTGATGCACCCGACGCTCCGTCTCCTGACACAAATATGTCGATGATGTAACTAAACGTGTGGCTCTCATTATTYGCCTAATGAGCTGTCTCCGATCTGTCAGCCAACGAAGCGAGCAGGAGAACCGAGGGTGGGCTTCGTGCGGTCCCGGGGTCAACCGAGCGGCGGCTGAGGGGACGAGGGGGCCGGCGTGTGGCACTTAAGAYGGGGAAGGAGCTCGTTAAAGTGTCATTTTTGGGCAATATGCTCGTCGGCGTGGAAGAGGCCAATCAGCCGTGCCGTTCCCATCTCAGGAGAACGACTTTCATCCATCACTGTCGGCTCTATGATGATATTAGCAGGTGTTTACTGACGGGCCATTCACAGGAAGACAGATGGAGGTTCTAAAGGAGGTTCTGACGATCTTATTCACTCAGTCGTTTCACACACGGSCTCAATCCCAATGGGCCCACAGAGACGAAGCAGCAGATCTGGTTGTAAAAGCAAAACATCATTTTAGACAAAGATATTTATTCACAGGACTCAACTGCAGAGAATTAAAATGTTTTAAGGTCTCAGAGTTCGTATGAGTGAAGTACAAAACAGGAGGAGTTCTTTCTTTACAAAAAAATAATTAAAAAGAGAAACCAACACTGGTCTTAATCCACAAATATTCAGAAAATGTGATGATTTAAAAGGATTTTTTTCATTTTTTGGGCTGGATTTTATAAATACACTCATTTAAAACAAACAAATAAACAGCTCTAAGGAAAGTTAAGTTCTTCATTATTAGATGATCAAAACAAATTTTAACAAATATTAAAGAAAWATCAAAAGTTTGTGAACGGCTCCTTTGCTTCAGTCCTGACATCGTTTATTMAATTTTATGACCTAAATAAACACCTTTATCATTAGCTTGTTTTAAAATTCAAATTATMCAGAGCTTAAAAAACCAGGAAGAAATTTCTCATACGAACTATTTCTATTTTTTACAACAAACTCCCTTTGGATTATTGTGAAGTTTTATAAACACCAATAGGTTATTTTAGCAGAATGTGGCTTTGAAAAACGTTTCAGATGGAGACAATCTCATAAAAAAAAA